CCCAATGTGGCACATACCCTCACTGGCATGCTGGCTAGAACTTTAGATTTATAGGGCTGTCTGGACAAATAGTTTTTTTGTTTTGTTGTTTTGTTTTGTTTCAATCATTTTTATTTTCAATTACAGTTGACATATATCATTATATTGGTTCCAGGTATATACTCCAGTGATTATAGTGATCACCCAAATAAATCCTGCACCCATTCAATACCATGCATAGTTATTACAATATTATTGACTATATTCCCTATGCTGTACGTTATACCTCTATGACTATTCTGTAACAACCACCTGGACAAACAGTTTTTAAAGCTGAGAAATATCTTTTATTGAAATAAAAAATATCTCTTTAACTAATCTGTCACAAACTTTCATATTTACTTATGTCAACTGAAATAGACAAGTACTTTTTTACAGTTGATTACAGTTATAGTGTTTAGGATAACTTTTGCCAACAAAATGCTAATGCCATATTGGCTTTGTCCACACCCAGCAATATTCTAATCCAAACACAAGCAGGGAAAAAACACAAAGCTGGCCCAGCTGGTGTGGCTCAGCAGTTGAGCATCCATCCAGGAACCAGGAGGTCACAGTTCAACTCCTAGTTAGGTTGCATGCTTGGTTTGCAGGCTCAATGCCCAGTAGGGGGCGTGCAAGAGGCAGCTGATCGATGATGTTTCTCTCTCATGGATGTTTCTATCTTTCTATCCTCTCCCTTCCTCTCACTTTAAAAAAAATCAATAAAAACATTTTTTTTCAAAAAGCTATTAGTTAATGCTGTGATTTTACCAGCATATATGGGCCATATATGCATCTGCAGAGATATGTGCAGAGATAATGGGTTTATTTATTAGCACATAGAAGTAAATAGAAATAATATTACAGTATCAGAGAGAATAAATTATTCCACTACAATTATAACTTTATTTTTGTCTCCCCCTCTAGAATGTGGTGGGGGAAGAGATTTACATCAGCCTTATTCACTGTTACTCCTGGAACATAGTAATAAATACTTGTTGAATTGAATTGAATCTATAGGATCAAAGCAAGTTATTATTCACTAATTCTAGGGTCGGAAAGAGAAGGAAATGAGACATGTAGCAGGACAACTAACTTCCTTAACATCCACTTGCTTTTTTACTCCCTAATTGGAACCTAATTCCCATAGTCACTGCACTTCATCACTCTGTTGCTTTCTGATCAGCTTCTCATTCCTGTAGCTCATGCAGATAAGAGCTGGGGCCTCCTTGGAGCAGGCTAGGACAAAGGTTAACTTCTTCCCAGAACCTAGAAAAGGCGAATGAGCTCTGTAGAATAATATTTCTAAGTATTCACCACACTGGAATCAATATCAATATGCCATCAGTGCGTGCATTAGCCCCACAAACAAAGAACACCCCTTAGAGCCCAATAATGATGCTGGGCGTGGGTAGCTGGGGATGGGCAAGATGATGCACAGATGACTGTATCAGCTCTGCTTAAACACAAGGCTTCCAGGATGTTACACAAGACTGTCATTCTTGTATTTTGTCAGAGATAGGCAGCGTCTGGATTTAGCCACTGATACACTCAGCAAAATAACTCTCTTATCTTCTTGACCCAAGAGGTGGATTCAGAGTACACCTTCCTGGCTGTGAGATAAGTTTTCTCTTCTGTCCTTGCCTAGTGTTGCCAAGGAATGCAAATGTCATGACGCCTGAAGTTGATAAAACAGGTAGACAGGTGAAACAAATTTGAATCATTACTGATTCAGGTAAGACCTGCTTTTAGTGCAACTCTATTATGCCCATGCTCATTTGTGTAGCTTTTTTCATATGCAAGTTCTGCTAAAAAAATATGTCAAGCAAGGGTAGTGGCAAAAAATCTGAGCATCAATTCTGCATTATTTAAATCTCTGGGATCAAATTAGGATATGACCAAGAGTCAAGCTCATCCCTGCAGTAAAACTGATCTTAGTGTTGTAAATGGGATTTCATTCTACATGTGAAATCTGATTTTCCAATTAGACTGAGAAGGAGTGGGGTGAGTGTGGTAGAGTAAAGATGACTGATCTGCATAGTGTACACAGTTAAGATGTTATAAAACCAAGGTGACTGGGTAAGCATGAGGATGCCCTAGTCAAATCACATTGGTTTGAAATCCTGGACCAATAAATGTTTAACTATGTGCCCTTAGCCAACTCTGTTAACCTGGCTAAGAAATGTGAATAATAGCACCTAATCCTATAAAGTAACATGGTTAACTCTCTACCTCATGATGCCATTTAAGAATTAGATAAGATACATGCAATGCTTAGTCCAGTGTCTGATACATAATAAGAACTGAATAAAGGATAGCTGTGGTTCTTACAATTATTATTTTTAGACTCCCACCATGGCCTAGTTAACTATAAAGAAGTAACTTCTCTGTAACTGTATAATTCAGTAAAAAAAAAAAAAGTAAAACTAAAAAGTCATGACCAAAGGCAAGGAGGAGGTTAGCTGCTTGTGAGGCTTCCATCATCTTAATTGCGGCCACACAGTCAATATGGTCATGCTGACCTTTCACTCATCAGTGTGAAACAAAATTCTTTAAATTCTAGGAAGTTCCGGTGAAACGCCACTCAATGCAGCCATACAGCAATCTCTCCCTTCCCCCATACTCACTTGTCCCATCCACCCCTTGGGGATATATTAAAAATAAAACTAAGGCAACTGAAATAGCCTAAGCCAGTAATTAAGACACACAGCTAATCAAAGAGCAGCAAGGCTGTGGCCCTCTGCGAAGAAACTGAACACCAAGATGACAGCTCCGATTACCAGGGCTTTGTTCTCCGGGAGCAAAACGAACACAAAAAGCATAAAGTTGGGGAACTGTAACTGCCTTTTCAACATTTGCAGGGGCAGGGGGAGATTGCAGGCGCCTCTGAGTTAGAAGCATATTCCACAGATAACTGCGGCAGCCCACACCCACCAGCGCCTTCTCTACTCTCAAAGCATGACTCCACTTTTTCTAACACTGCCCTGAAGGAATCTGGCTTTGAGACTTCCAGTAATTGTACAAATCACCCATGATGAAGCAGCTGAGAGCACTGTTAGACAAAAGAAATAAAAATTAAGCAAATAAAAACCTCATTAAAATGCTGCTTTTGGTCATGTTTACTCCTAGCAATCCATGTTACCAAACAAGTCTTTCTTCATTGCTTTTCCTTGGAAGTAATACTTTTAACTAATTTTAATGGGCACTGAGTGATTCTCTCCAGACTCATAATCCAGTCACCCAAACACACTTTCCCTTCCCCCATCACCATCTAGCACTCCTCCCTGTCACCTTAGAGCTTCTGCCTTAGCTGTGTTCACACCCAGCAGTCCCAGCAGAGCTTTCTGTTCACATTACATGACAAAAAAAGCAGGCAGTGAACAATCCATGCTCCTAAGTGCTTGCCATAAAGCCAGGCTGAGCTGACCTCTCCCATCCCAGCAGCTGCATGTCAGCCACATAAGCTTAAAGGACCGAGAGTAGCATGTGTGTGATGGGTATAAACAAACTAATTAAAATCTGAGCTCTTTCATTCCAGCTAGTGCCTAATGGGACCAATACACTTGACTCTAGGCAAAATAAATAAATAAATAATACATATATATTTTTTTTTATCACTCCAAGCTGGCTAGAGTTATTGCCCTTCCTGCTTCCTATGATACATCTCTTTTAGGCTCAGCGAGCAGCCTAAAAGAGGAGGAACTCAGGGTTGCTATTCTTTCCTGTGAGACTTATGATACATCTTTTAGGCTCAGCAAGCAGCCTAAAGGGGAGGAACTCAGGGTTGCTATTCTTTCCTGTGAGACTTTTCAAATAAAAACTATCAACTCACAGCACTGAGCCAAAAGACCACTCCCTGATTCCAAGTGGACATATTGATCAATTGAACTGACATGTGCCTCCTTCTTTCTCTCCCTTAGTAGCAATCAGCTGCACCAGGGAAATCAATTTCATTTCCCAAAACAAAAGGCAACAGACTGCTCCTTATCTGACACTGTCAGACCACGTTTTTTAGGGGGGAAAGAATACAATGAAGATGCCCAAAGAGAGAGAGCGAGGAGTTGAAATGAAGAAGAGGCATGTTTATCTGGAGTTTCAGAATTGAGTTGAGGTTATAACGGAGCCAGAGATCTGTATTCACCACAACCGCTGAGGAGCCTGCTGTTTTTGCATCTTACCAGATTCTGGATAAAGTTAAACAAGAGTAGCAACACGGCCACTTCCAGGGGCTCTCCTCAGGGTTACCCTTCATTGCAACTGCCGCAGAGAGGAGACTTATTACAAGTCAGCCTGCAAACAATTCCAGCTATTTTAGAGACCAGCTACTGATGGAAAAACATCGTGGCAGTCCTTCCACTAACTATGAAGGACATGAGCTGAAGGATTAGCAATAAATCAAAAGGCTCTAGTAATTTTATTTGTTTGGGGTCCTCATGTTTTTAATAAATTCTCTCTTGAACATGCGAGAGATCCCCTTTCACAGCAGGGTTATGTCAAATGCTTATTCAGCAGTCATTCCTTGCCATGAAGAAACTGAAACCAAACCGAGGTAAATACTGAATTTCATACTGCAAATCACTAAATATTTCATAAATCACAAGAGCAAATAGGGGACCAATTAGCTCTGCCCCATAAAAAAGAAATATATACCTTTACAATATTGAAAGACCATGAGCTGCTCATTTTAGAGACTATTTGGGGTTTTGCCCCAAATTATCTTATATTTATTAAAAATTCCATCAGAACACTAAAAATAACAGGCAGGGATGAAGCAAGAATAATTTTATGTATTTTAATTCCTTTAGGAGTCTTACAGCCTTTGTCTTATTAACCCAGCAGCCTGAAAAACAGATTTAGGCAAAACAGCTCTTCTTTCCCTAGTCCATTTTAAGCAGACAACATCTCCCCCATCTCCGCCTTAGCAGACACAGACTAACCAACAAAACAGCCATGCAATTAATGCCCACACACTTAATGCTCACCATCTCCTGCTCCCACCGTCTTCTTTTGATGTTTACAGCACATCTGTAGGTTGCAATACTAGGAGATGCCTTGTTTGACCTGCTGCATGATGCTGTGACATCAGTTCAGATGATGCAGCTCATTATGGGAAAGGCTGCTGTTGCTATGGCAACTGGGATGTGCCAGGAATCCTTGCTGCATTTCCAGTGGCGCCTGAGACAATACGGAAGCCCTGTAAGAAACAGACGATATGCAAAATTTAGACCAAAGGAAGAGGATCCCTCATTGGACTAAAATCCATAGATTTAAAATGGATTTCCCTGAAGGCACTTTGGAAAAAATAAAAATTACCTCCTACTTTGTTGTAATACATTTAGAAAAGATAAGGGGAAATACAGATTTAGTACTGAGCAAATATAAACTCAGATGGACAGTGTTTCTCTGTTAGGCAATTTGATTACTTTTTCTTCTCTGGACAACATTACAATACCTTTTTAGAAGTTATCAAAAGAATTTTTGCTCATTTGCCAAAGACAACCATACACACACACACAGCAGGGAGCAAAAAAAGAAAAAGAATTAAAAATAGAATATAAACAGCTGAGAAAGTGATTCTAATTGTAAAGTAAATTAGACACCAATCCACAGGACCTTCTCGTGCAGAATAGCCCCAGCACTCCCTTAGCATCAAATAGGCATGTGGAAGGAGTTTAGAATCCAGGGGTATATAGCACACCACCCTTAACTTGTAAGGCCCCTTTCCTTGGCCAGCAGAACTCTTCCCACTACAGCCTAAATAGATGTGTCTTTTCTGGGACCAAACCTCATGGTTAGAACAAGTGGCAGACCTATATCACTGGCATTCCAAACATTGGGGCTCTGTTTTCCTCTCTTTGGGGCAATAAGACACCCAGGAGGAAATTACTCATGCCCCTTCCCCCACAAAAGCTGGAACTGTGTGAAAAGCCACATTTAAACAGGACACAGTGAGATATTTCTCCAGTTGGTAAAAGAAAAGAAAATCTAAAGCAATCACTCCTTTTCAGTTCTGAGCAAAAACAAATATTAAGTGGTGAGAACTAGGGGGAAAGGAGACATGGACAGATCAACCATCTTTTGCATATTTAACACTCTCATAACATGGACAGAGACAGAATCAAGCTGACCTCCATCCACTCCATCTTCACATCTGGGTAAGGATGACATTCTAAAAGCCAAAAGTCTAATGAGATGATTATGCTGTTCCCTCCTACTGGAGATTTTAAATGGCACTGTTCGCCAACTGCATGGGAGGTGGGGAATGGAATGGCAGAAGGAACTCGGGCAGTGCCTCTGTCAAATAGGGGCTGATAAAATGCATGAGAGGTGCCAAGATCCTAGCAGGGTGCACCATCAGCCACGCACAGAGCAGCTCTGCCCTGGATGACAAGCCAGGATTGTTCCTGCTTCACTTAAGGAGGAATTGGGGGACCAAGAGCAAGAAGTGAAGCTTCCTGCCCAGTCACCCATGCTCTCAGTCATGGTCAGAGCCTGACTCCTGCCCTCTATCTTAGACCACATGCCACACCCAGGGAAGTAACAAAGAGCCACTCCAGTGCAAAAAGCATTTGTTTGGGATTCAGAAAACCCACGTGTTAATGCCAGTTCCTCGGGTGAGCACCTGTGTGACACCCAGCCAATCAATTAACCTCTCTGGGCCTCCAGCTTTTCATCTGCAGAGATGATGGATTTAGTTATTAACCATGGTTTTCAATGGCTTTTTGTTCTGCCCTGATTGAGGGGGGAGAAGAACCCATGAGCGAAGAATAATGAATCCTTCTCAACCCCAACCCCTACCTTATCCACCCTGAAGGCACCTCTGACGAACACTCAGCCTCTAGAGACGATGGAGTGAAAGTCATGGGTCCAGAACAATATCATCAGCCTTTTCAGAGCTGAATTTCCATGGCTCTGTAGAGAGGAGAGAGCAGGGTGGGATCAGGTGTTCCAGACTTGATTTGGCTTCTCCGAATGAGAGGAATCTTCTCAGACTCCTTTGCCGAAGCAAGTCATTTGGTAGGAAGAGATGGATGACTCAACAAATGTGAGGCCGGTCAGACTTCTAACAACCTGAACTGCCTGAATGGCCCGGATTGGGTGAAAAAGGAGACCCATAAAGTAGAAGCAAGTCATGCATGAAGTGTTGTCTTGCCTTGTGAATGGGCCTATAGTAATGCACTGCGGACTTTGCAGTGGCCTTTCTCACTGTCCTCCCTGTCCTCACATCCCTACCTCATGAGGTTGTTTTGAGCATACAATAATGTATATAAAAGCATTTGAAAACCAGTACATCATAGAAATGTCAAACCTCGTAATATTGTTCTTAGTAACCCACTCACCCCAATCAGTGGAGGTTCTTTAGCTCTCACCTGTAGCTCCAGCCAGATTCTGGACTCTGAAATAAGATGGTTAGGAAGTGGCTTGCAAAGTCTGCACAGCTACCAAGGAGGCCTTACTCCTCGCCACTCACTTCAGATAAGTTCGGGGAATGAACAGGGGATCTTCTCGATCTTCTCGGAGCACAGGGCCAGGGCCAGGGCCATGGGCAACAATGAACAAGTAAGTTTCTCCTGGATCATGTGCAGAATCACGTGCAGATGAATGAACTGAGGCAGAGAGATTCAGACCTCAATGACTTCAGGTATACCTTGTTTTCAACAATAAACAAATAAGTTTCTCCTGGATCATGTGCAGATGAATGAACTGAGGCAGAAAGATTCAGACCTCAATGACTTCAGGTATACCTTGTTTTATTGCGCTTCACAGATGTTACGTGTTTTACAAATTGATGTAAAAAATCATTTTATGGCAGCGGTCTGGAACTGAACCAACAGGAAATGCCTGTAGTAGGACTTCAGAAAATCGCTGGGGTTCAGAGCCCATGCATCTCCCATTTGGCCTCTGATGGAGACCAATCTGCATCACCAACAAATCCTGGCCTTTCAGCTGAATGTGGAGTTGACATGGGACTTTGAGAAGTTCCCTTGGCATATGAATATGTATGTTGTAAGGGGAAAGGGAGCAAAAAGATCTTTGGGGGACAGCAGGAAACTTATGACAGCTACTGGGATTGCTCACCAATATCCATGTTCTCCTTTTTCTCCTAGGCACATTCCCCGTGTCCTTATCTCTAAGTGCAGTGGTTCTCAACCTTCCTAATGCCGCGACCCTTTAATACAGTTCCTCATGTTGTGGTGACCCCCAATTTCATTGTTACAAATTGAACATAATTAAAGCATAGTGATTAATCACAAAAACAATATGTAATTATATATGTGTTTTCCGATGGTCTTAGGCGACCCCTGTGAAAGGGCCGTTCAGCCCCTAAAGGGGTAACAACCCACAGGTTGAGAACCGCTGTCTAAGTGGACCTTGGGACTAGTTCACACCAATAGAATGTGAGTGAAAGTGGATAGTGACACCCCCAAAAGTGGTTAGGAACACGTGTGCCTTCTCCATATTTCCTCCCCTGCTGGTTGAATGAAAAAAATCTAATGGAGCCCTGGCTGGGTGGTTCAGTTGGTTGGAGCATCATCCCATACACCAAAAGGGTTTGATCCCTGGTCAGGGCACATATGGGAGGCAATTGATCAATGTCTTTCATCTCTCTCTCTCTCTCTCTCTCTCTTTCTCTCCTCCTTTCTCCCTTCCTCTCTCTTTACTTCCTCTCTCTTTAAAAGTCAATTTTAAAAAACATATCCTCGGGTGAGAATTAATTTTAAAAAAATATCTAGTGAAGAACTCAAGCCCTGGAAGATAATGGCCCCATGCTGTGAATGGAGCCTGGGTTCCTAAATGACCACATGAGGCACAGCTATTCTCTCCCAACTACTCACTGAACCACAGAACACTGCAATGAGTGAAAAATAAACCTGTACTGTATTAAGCTGCTGAGATGTTGGGGTAGTTTATTACAGATAATTATCTATTTATAAATTATAGTAATAATTTATAAAATATATTTAATAAAATATAATAATACAATAAATTTATAACATTATTTACTAGAGGCCTGGCGCACAAAATTCATGTACTGGGGGGGGGGGGGTCCCTTAACCCTTAAGCCCTCAGGGAATGTCCGACTGACAGCGGGGAGCAGGCCTAAGCCAGCAGACATCCTTAGCACTGCCACGGAGGTTGGAGAGGCTCCCGCCATTGCTGCTGCACTTGCCAGCCTTGAGCCCAGCTTCTGGTTGAGCAGTGCTCCCCCTGTGGGAGCGCCCTGACCACCAGAGGGCAGCTCCTGCATTGAGCATCTGCCCCCTGGTGGTCAGTGCGTGTCACAGTGACCGGTCATTTGGCCATTCGGTCAATTTGCATATTAGTCTTTTATTATATAGGATAATTATGTGAAGTGATGGAGGTGTTGCTAAGGACAGTCAATTAGCATATTCCCTCCTTATTGGCTGTGGGTGCCGCCATCTTTGAGGGCATGGCAGTCAATTAGCATATTCCCTCCTTATTAGATAGGATTACTATTTGTTATAAACTGACGATGTTACAAATAGGTTCCCTTATTACAGACTTTTTCAGTGACTGATATGTTGATATGTATTGAGACTCTCCCATGGGTAAAATATAGTATATAGTACTTTCCTAATTTCTTTAATCATAAAATCCTTTCTTTCATGGACTAATGTTCCATTGGCTGTAGACTAACAGTATGGGAAACATGACTGTAAACAATAATGTATTAGAACCACTCCCTCCTCTCCCCCTCCCCCCAGCTCCTGATGCAGCCTGGAGGCTAGAAGAGAGGAAAAAGTGTACTCTCATTGCCAGTACAACCCAGTCTGCCTCCAATCTTTCTCTGCATCCTGAACTGGCAAAGCAGAAATTTGGTGATGTTATTATGTTTCCCCAATTACAATTAGGAGTTGTGACCCAAATCCTTAACATTTCAGCAGCAAATGAGTTTTGTTTCCAAATCAACAGCTTGTGGTATATATATATATAT